TTTCAGATTTCAAGTCAAATGGTTTTAGAGGATTCTTTGGTTGAGTGAAATTTTTGATTTTGGTATCAGAATAATTTACCTTGACCTTTTCAACTGCTTATAGTCACACTTGGAGTAATCAAAATAACTTATCTTGACCTTTTTGAACTGCTTTAAATCACACATGAATTTAGCAGAATGACTTACCGGTACTTGATTTTTTCTTAGCCACCATCACACCTTGGGTATTCAGAGGGACTTACCTTGACCTTTTTTAGTCACGTACAGTAACACCCTAGGTTAATCAGAATGACTTTCTGTAAACCAATTATTATATGCCACATTCATTATGCCCAATTCTTTAGATTGCAATCCATCTGCCAAATCCTAATTTTTGTAATTGAGGCAACATTCTACATAAATTTTAAGGCTAAAATTCAATTTTCAATGAGAAATATGGAAAGTAACACAACTTGTGAATATTTCTTGCTTGCATATAACAGTTGGGATAATCAGAATGACTCACCTTGACCTTTTTTAATTGTTGACAGTCACAACTGGAGTTGTCAGAATGACTCACCTTGACCTTTTTTTTTAATTGTTTACAGAAAGTCACACCTGAAGTTGTCAGAATGACTCACATAGACCTTTTTTTAATTGTTTACAGTCAGTCACACATGGAGTTGTCAGAATGACCTACCTTGACCTTTTTAATTGTTTACAGTCACACCTGGAGTTATCAGAATGACTTACCTTGACCTTTTTAATCATTTACAGTCACACATGGAGTTATCAGAATGACTTACCTTGACCTTTTTAATCATTTACAGTCACACATGGAGTTATCAGAATGACCTACCTTGACCTTTTTAATCATTTACAGTCACACATGGAGTTGTCAGAATGACTTACCTTGACCTTCTTTAATCGTTTACAGTCACACCTTGAATCATTGTCACTAGGTTGTTCTACAAGCTCCCAGGAATCATCTGGCTTGTCAGGTCTAGACACCAACAGGTCAGAAAATTTCTGAATAAAAAAATCTCTTAGTAACATATTGAAGTAGAGGCTTAATCTATTACAATAAAGTTTATCTTTCAAATAATTATAAAATGCTAAATATCTAGGGGACACAGAACAACACTTATGTGAAAGTCTGTGGATACATGTAGCACTTTTAAAGAAGAAAATGGCACAAAAAAAAACTATCCAGGGAAAATCACTAAACCCTTCCCTTTGACATTAATTTTGTTATAGTTTTTATAGTTTTTAATGCTTGATTCTAAGAATTGTGCACACACACAAAAAAAATGGTTTAATGTCCAAAAAAGTCAAATAATGAATAATCATCATTATGAAAGTATGATGTGTCTATATAACATGTGTAATGGGGAATCCAATACAAATTAGTGCAGAGAGGAATTTCATCTCCGACATATGTTTTCAGTATGTTTGAACATATACCCATTTATGCAAGAGTATAAATAAAACCAAAAGAAATTCATAATGTTAATCAAAGAACCAAACAAAGTAATTCTCATCGTGTTTGGTACTTACATGCAAACGTGCAAATTTGTAATTAAAACTTAGTGGACTTCAATGTACTACCAAACCGCTAAAATTTGAGCCAAAGTTAGCACGCCCTTAAAAAATCCCAGCTATATGGTATTTGTTTAAAGGTCTTCCGTTTCAGACGGAAGACCTTATAGTGATTCTACTGTTTTTAAGGTTTCCCGTCTTCACGGAAGACCTTATAGTGATTCTACTGTTTTTTATTAGGTCTTCGTCTTACGGAAGACCTTATAGTGATTATACTGTTTCTTATTATTCTTATTATTATTATTATTTTTTTTTTTTTTTGACAAAATTTTGTGCAGGCATTTTAAAACTATTCAGTGGTTTTTCATGAAACTTTCACAAAATATGCGTCATTATATGAAGTTTTTAAATCCGTAAGTAATTTGGAAAATTCGCTTCTGGTGCCAAGTTATGGACAACTTCCTGATTTTAAAATGCGATTTTGTCGCGCACTTTTATCAAAAATGGCTAAGGATATGAACTGGAGACTTATTGGAGATGATAGATATGACTTTGTGGATTGCAGAATCGCCTTTTCGTCGTCGTAGTACTTCCGGTCGTTACGAGATGCAAATTTTAAAAAATCGTATTTTCTTACTTTTTTGTTTTTCAGTATTTTTCATTTTTATTTGGTATAGTAATAGAAGCCCTCCTTATAATGTTACTATTTAATTTGTTTGAATGTTGATAAATCTAAAGTCTAGATATTTGCATTCAAAAATCTAAGCGGGTCCAAAACGGCTGTCTCTGTCAACTCCGCCATTTTGCGAGTAGGGGTTTATGGAGGCAGCTAGCGTTTGATTAAACCATTCTGACATAAGGATACATGAAATGTAAAAAACTACTTCGACTCTCACGTAGTAGTGAAATGGTTGGAGGAGTAATCTCCCAATTTGTTTTTTTATAATAAAAATCAATGTAAATATTGTAAAAATTTGGTAAATTTGAAAAAATTATACAAGTATTATTGTTTGATTTTTTGTTAGAAAATAATAACAGTGTTGCCAAAAGAAAGACAGTCTGTTTTATTTTATCAATATATATCTGATAACTTATGATCATTGATTAAGTTGAGGTAAAAAGGGGCAGTACAGCCAACTGGCTTGTGTCTTCACTTTGGTACAGAAACCAATTGGTTCATCGCTCAAATAGGATTGTGCAAAGTTGCCGTAGTCAGTGATAGTTAAAATGTAGCTGTGTGACATTAGCTATAGGTTTATCATTAGGACAGAGAAGCTCTTACAAAGTTAAATCATACTGTGTAAGTACATTGTAGCCACTTGGCTAGAGTTATATAGGCAATTTGGAAGCAAACAAGGCAGATGTTAAAGGCTAAATAAAGAGGCACCAGGCAGATAGTCAGTTGTACGAGTATAGTGAGGCAATTATCATATGGCACCAGGCAGGTACCGGTATTAACTGAAGATATATAATTATACAAAGCACTTAGGTCATTTGATTTAAGACACCAGGCAGGTGTCATATTATTATCTGTATATATTACATACAATCATATCCCCAGTAAAACTCGGTAATCCGAGCAAGGACCTACTGACCGCTCAGATCCGACACGTTACAGTAGTACGTTGCAATTTAGTGTCAATCTTAAAACTTAATTTCCGTTTCACTGCTTTAGTGTAACTGGGCTAATACGATATGTAATGTGTATAATGTGTTACATTTATTTTTTAACGTCAAAATAAAATAAAGGCGCTAAGAATGTTTTATTTTTAAAATTTAATTGATGCTATCAAAACTTCAAATAGATCAGTCCAAAGAAAAGGCGCAAATATTTACTCGTGGCTTTTGGCGCGAAATTATGAACGTTTTTATAATTCTTAGACAGGTGAACTGTTGCAAAAGTACCGTGGTATACACAAGTATATTTAGAGCAGTACTCCCAATAGCTTAATGGTTAGCGCGTTGGGGATATAAAATAAAAAAAAAAAAGCGCATCTACGTTGGCGACATGGTTTCAATCCTCCTTGTGACCAAAATTTTGAATCTCTTTTCAGCTCGATTTTACGTGGGTTTCTTTTCCTAAAAACGGACGGAAGACCTCTCGTTGCTCGCAACGAGGTCGTATCTAGTTATTCTTCTTATTATTTTTTTTGACAAAGTTTTGTGTAGGTCATTTTCTCGAAAACTATTCAGCGGTTTCTCATGAAACTTTCACAAAGTATGTGACATTATATGAAGTTGTTACATCCGAAGAGAAATTTGGAAAATTCGCTTCTGGTGCCAAGTTATGGACAATTTCCTGATTTTAAAATGCGATTTTGGTTGCCCCTTTTTGTCGAAAATGGCTAAGTATATGATATGGAGACTTATTGGAGATGATAGATCATGACTTTGTGGTTTGCGGAATCGCCTTTTCGTGCGTCGTCAGTACTTCCGGTCGTTACGAGATGCAAATTTTAAAAAATCGTATTTTCTTACTTTTTTGTTTTTCAGTATTTTTCATTTATTTTCGGTATGTTAATAGAAACCCTTAATAATGCTTACTATATAATTTGTTTGACTGTCGATTAATTTAAACTCTAGATATTAGCGTTCAAAAATCTGAAGCGGGTCCAAAATGGCGGCTGTCTCTTTCAACGCCGACATTTCGCAATAGGTGTTTACAGAGTCAGCCGAGCGTTTGTTTGAACGAAAGTAACATAAGAATAAATGAAAGGCAAAGGAATACTTGGATTGTCACGTCGTATTTACGTTGCAGTTCTGTGTCAAACGAATGTCTTCTATAATTGGTTTTGGCTGGTTTTCAAAGTTGAAAAAGGAAAGACTAAATGTGCAAATGAAATTCGATACCTAATATCTCTTGTGCATCGCCGAAAAACAGATCTTAAATTATACTTATAAGTAATACTTTCTCAAAAAAAAATATCAATTAATTTTGTAAGTTTAAATATTAACCACTGTTTTTCCTATGCACACTTGTGTCATATTAAACTAATATATAAGACAAAAATAAGAAAACGATTTTTTAAAGATCGCTTCATGGAGTTTATTTTAGCATTCTTCTGTCACAAGACCTGGTTCAAGTTATTGAGCATAAATGATATCTGATTCCTGACAGTCGTAGGGCGAGTCATGTTTTCCGGCGAAACGTTTCAACCTTTTTCGATTAACTAATCGGGATAGTTCACTTTGAGGATAAACAGGAAATTGAAAAAAAAATCATATCCGTTTCACCGCTTTAGGTTACATGCATATATACAATATGAAATTTGTAAAATGTGTTAAATATTCTTTCTAAATCTCGAATCTTAGGCTATAAGAACGTTCTTTTTTTATTTCCATTGAGGCTATCACACCTATTTAATAGAACATTCCAAAGAAAGGGCTTGAAGCATTTGGCGCAATTTTTAATAGTGACCCGCATTTCATAATTTTAAGAGAGAAGCACTGTTTCGTAAATATATACAAGTAGATTTAGAGTAGAGGTTCACATAGCATAATATTTAGTGCATTGGAATTTCATGCTGGCGACTTGGGTTCAATCCTCCTTGGGTGCAAATCTTTTTTACTTTTTCAGCCCGTTTAACGCTTTCTTTCCAGAAACGGACGGAAGACCTCTCGTTGCTCGCAACAAGTTTCACATCTAGTTTCTTCTTATTGTTTTCGTTCTTATTATTTTTTTTCCCAAATCTTGTGATTCGGTTTCTTTTTAGGATTTCTCAGAGATGACTGGATGGATTTTCCTGAAATTTTCAGGGATGATAGAAGTGAAAATACCTTTCAGATGTATTTTCATTTTTTCAAAATTCACTTCCGTTCGTCAGATATGTCCGATTTCCGCTTTTTTCAAAAATATTTAATCTGAGTGATATCTAAGAAACAGTAAGAGATTAAGACACCAAACTTACAGGGATGATAGATCTTGATAAGTAGGCAAATCCATTTGGGTTAAGATTGTCTGCCGTCACTTCCGGTCATCACAGGAAGTGATCAAGAAATCGAAAATTTCAACTTTTCTTTTTTGAAACTTTTTTTGCATCATATTATAGCATCTTATTTGTTGTTTCGAAATTTATCAGTCTCACCGGAAACAAAACCGACAACTTCCGGTTATAAGAGAAAACTGCATATTTTGAGTATTTTTCTTTCCCATAAATATTTTATACATCAAGTATTTGTAATGATTTTTTTATATGTTACTAAGACTGCAAGTGTCTACAGTAACGTAAAATAGAAATGTGAAATTTACTTCCGGTCGCGTGATTTCCTGTCCTAAAACTGAGAAATTATCACAGCTAGATCTCAGAAACGGTAAGAGATTAAGACACAAAACTTATAGGACTGATAGATCTTTATAAGTAGGCAAATCCATTTTGGTTAACATTGTCCGCAGTCACTTCCGGTTGTCACAGGAAGTGATCAAAGAAATGGAAAATTTCAACTTTTCTTTTATGAAACTTTTTTTGTATCATATTATAGCATCTTATTAGTTGTTTCGAAATGTATCAGTCCCACCGGAAACAAAAACGACAACTTCCGGTTATAAGAGAAAAACTAAATAATTTAAGTATTTTTTTCCCCCATAAATACTTTTTATAGATAAAGTATTTGTTATGAATTTTGGATGTCCTAAAAATGATAAGTTATCGTAGCTAGAAAATCTCGGAAACGGTAAGAGATTAAGACACCAAAATTATAGGAGTGGTAGATCTTGATGAGAAGGCAAATCCGTTTGGGTTAACATCGTCTGCTGTCACTTCCAGTTGACACAGGAAGTGATCAAATGAATAAAAAATTTCAACATTTCTTTATGGAATCTTTCTTAGTAATACATTATAGCATTTTATTTGTAGTTTTGAAATATATCAGTCCCACTGGAAACAAAATCGACAACTTCCGGTTATGAGAAAACTGCATAAATTCAGTATCATACTAAACCATAATTATCTTTTAATATATACATTTGTGGTATCTCTCCATTATATAAACATACAGAGAGAAAATATCTTCAATTCTGTATGAAGTTTGTCAGAGGTCAGAGGTCAATACGTGACCTAATCACACGGCGCAATAATATCTACCGGTACATAAATATAACATGACCTGCTCTAGGCCCCTACTTGCTTTTCATGTATAAAAATGAACAAAATAAGCAAGTAAAATGATAATTATTTTATTTACATTGTAAACAAGTATTTCATACAGTTTTTTGGGCTATCGATTCAACCTGTGTACTTAGAGAAAACTAGCGTTTGTTTACATTTTTCTTCACTTTTGTCAGCTGCACAGTCTGTAACGTTCATCCTTATTTTTTCGGTACACTTTTGGTTAAATTTTCATGATAAACAATTATTTTATCTTTAAATTCTACTCACGATAAATTTGTAAATCTGTTGGAAAATACCATTGCAATCATGCCATGAACAGCTGGCAAACACCTCGGCGTTTTCGTAGTTCAATATTAACTGTCGCCGTGTCTCCGTGTTTATCAGTGTTTTACGATAAGTATGTCTTTAGTTACTGAAATCGTAGAATGTTTTTGATCAAATTACAAATTAACTGGCTCGGACAAGTGTCTCAATCCATCGGATCCATCCATCCCTTTCCGGCGACCGAAATTCCTCCAATTTTTTATCATCAATCTTCGGACGTGTTTCTTGTGCCTTTTCAGCATTAATTATCAATTTTCACAAATAAAAATATTCCCAGATAAGAATCTGCTCACTATTACTGATCATAAGTAGCCCTTCACAAAATATTCCCTTCGAAATAAATTCCTTAGCCTAATGAATTCGAAGCGTAACCTCCATGCAAGCCGATTTACACCTTGCGTCATTTTTCAAAATCTACGACGGATGGTTAGTGCAATAATTTAAATTCAAAAATGTTCAATTGTCTGTCTCAAATATATATATAAGCAATAATTAAAATAACAAGTTTATAAACTTCAATGGGAATTGAAGTGGGTCGGTATGTGATCAAATCTTTTGAGAAGGCCTTTGGCCTTCACAGGATTTGATCACGTGACCGACACACTTCAATTCCCATTGAAGTTTATAAACTTGTTATTTATTTCTTAATAAAAGAGTATTTGAAATGGTCTTAGAATATCTCATTCAGACTGAAATGTCTAGAGTAACCTCAAATATCTTTTTGAAAATTTACTTCCGGTCACGTGATTTCTTGTCCTCAAAATGAGATGTTAACATTACGAAATATCTTAAACTGTAACAGATCAAGACACTAAACTTATATGAATAATAAACCATGAAGATTGGGCAACAGATAGAGCGTAAAATGCGTTGGCCGTCACACTTTTGGTCGTCACAGGAAGTGATAAAAAAATTGAAAATGAGTTTTTGTAAATGTTATTAAGACTATAATTGTCTAAAGTAATGTCGAGAATCTTGGTAAGTTACACCTCCGGTCGTTTGTTTTCCTGTATCATTTTAAATATTATATGCCTTTGTTAACGTAGATAAAAGTTCATTCAAACAGATAAATAGAGGAGAACGGAAGACCGTTTTTGTTGCCTTAACGGAAGACCGTTTTTGTTGCTGTAGTTTTTAAAATTCTATTTGTTTGTACTTACATCAAACAACTTCACATGATAGCAGAAAATGTCCTTTGGTAATAAATTTTCTCGGACAAATTCTTGAGCATTTCTAGAAATTTTCTTTGCCTAAAAAAGCAAATAAAATGAAAAAAAAGCTGTAGAAACAAATATAATCTGACAACTTAAAATGAATAAATTGAAGTTACATGTAATTCAAAATCAATAGTTGGGTACATCCCACTAATTATTTTTAGAATCGGTAAGCAAAAGTAGTGAAAAAAATTACAAGTTCCTTAATTTGCAGACTTGCATAAAAAAATTGTCAAGACGACTTAAAATGTTTGGCAAATGTAATTAACAAGATCATCATTTTTTGTGTATTATAACGAATAATTTCCCCTACTTTCACTTTCATTTTTAGAGGTTGCCACAGACAGACACATTTTGCCGGCAATTACATGCCACCTAGATTTTAACCAAGGAAAGACAACTCTTTGATTTGAGGGGTCTCACTGCTGAACGAAAATGGGACATTGCTATAAGAAGAAATGTTAACATTGTCGCCTATGGGAAAACAATTAGTGGACAATTAATTTTTTTTCCTTTGCCCACAATATTTTTTTTCTGAGGTCACTAAGGTCCCTTTTGAACGGAATGTAATGTTTATTTGGTTCTAAGCTCTTGTAAAAATGTTCATAATATGGAGAGTCTTGTTTGAGCACAACAGAGTTACCTCCCATTAGATATGGAAATCTGTAGGCAGCAACAGTGCCATCTAAATTAATCTGATATTTATACTGAAAATATAAAAAAGAAAATTAAATGTCACAAAACACAATTCAGTGGACTAGCTTGCATGAAATGGGATCATCTTTATTATCTAGTAGCTAGAATTTATACATTATGGGATTGTGCAAATATTCCTTTAACTCTGAATAAACTCTGCATACTTACATTAAAGAAATCAAAGAAAGGTGTAGATTTCACGAGCTCTCCGTATTTTTCTGGTTCCTTTTTGAAGAAGAACATGTGAGTCAGTGCTGCATCTATAAGTTGAGGTTCTTTCCGTGACATAACCACGAGGTCCAGTCGCTCCTGTCGACTATCCCGCCCCCTCCAGAATGCTTTCTCTGTCTTGTTCTCCCAGGCCACTTTGGTTGACTGGACGGATAGTGTATCTAAAGTAACCCTTCAAAACAAAAGGCTATCATTAGTATCGTTCTGAATGCCATTTATTACCATTATATCAGAATGTTTTGTTGAAATGTTGACTCAAGAAATTTCTTCTGCAGTGGAGAACAATTAACTTTAGTTCTAAAAATAGAACTCAACATGGCAAATAAAACTTTCGTTCCATGAAAATAAAAAAACCAAAAAAAACACTAGTATTATAATAAACTATGAGTATGTAGAACAGTATAATACTGAAATATTTCTCCTCACATATTTTTCATCATATAATCACATATAAATATAGGAAATAAAAAAATCTATGAAATATCACAAAACTTTTGGTGTGAAAAGACTTGAGAATATATATCCTCTAATAGAAATTACAGTACCATATTCACTCAATCAAATCTCCATGTACCAGTTTTTTCCCCTCAAACTATGGTTATTTGACACAAAAAGTAAAGTGATTTTACAGAAAAATTGATCTGTTTATCTATTGATCTGTTTATTCTGATATATACATGTATATGTACAAACCTTGAAAAACAGATATTCTGAACAAATATAATGCTTCAATCATTTTAAATTCCTACTTGTACAAATTTTAAATGATCAATTTTTCCTTTGCATTATGAAACAACTAGCATACATATTTACAATACAGGACAGAAATTTAATTTCAAATTGTAGGTTACCTTGACATCATTTGGAGGGTGGACTCTGTGCGAATAAAAGTTGGTTTACAGTATACAAACCTTGAAACATCAGACCCACACCAAAAAAATATTGCTTTGATCTTTTTAAGAGATTTCTTCTCCAGTGGCCAATCACCAAGATTTACAAAGAATTCCGTGTCAGGGAGAACAACCTACAAAATCCATCATCAAACTTACTTAAGAATTTACTAGAGCAGATGCACACATCAACATTATATAGCAAGAACTTTAAGGATCTATATATACATTATAGCAATTATAAATGACAATTTCATAGAAGAACTCTAGCTAGTACTAAATTCTAGCAGAATGTTAAAATATGCATTATTCAGAAAATGAAAGTGAAGGAGGAAAAAAATGTTTACATGAAGAAATAAATCATGAGGTTAAGGCTAAACTTTATATTTTTAATATATACATACAGAGTTTTTTTCTATCTCTTAGCACCTTGTCATGTAACTAGGTGAAAATATTTAAGTACAGTGTATACATTTTTATTTAGTCTAGCAAAGTAGTATTCAGTATTGAAATATATTTTTCCAGAATGTTTGACAATGCAGTACATTCAAGTATAAAACAGACTTTGTCAGCTGCATGTTTAGTTTTTACAAAGTGTACATAACCTTTCATTTAATGGTATACCTGCTCATTTCAGAATAATTCAATTACCTGCTGACTATGTTTATGAGAAGTTTGAATTCCATTGTTCTCTTCCATGGTATTGCACCTTTAGTACTAATAACATTGATTGTAATTTACATGTACATGTGGAAGTAATTTTTCCTTTGCTAAATACAAATATAAAACAAGAGAGAAATGTTTTTGAAAAATTACCTAGACATCATTTGGCAGTAACAAAGTTCAAAAAAGCTCTATTTTAAGCATATATGTCAAGGCCACAAGGTCATTGATCATGGTGTCATTTCAAAGAACTTAATTAGTAGAGAAGGAATACCAAATATAAGTCTCAATCTCTTATGGTTCAAATGCTATGGCAAAGGTTCAAAAAGGTTATTTTTAGCAAATAGGTCACAGTAAAGATCACAAAGTCATTGACCTTGTTGCAATTTGAAAGAACTTAATTAGTGGAGTATGCATACCATATATGAAGTCTCTATCTCCTATGGTTCAAAAGTTATAGTGAAGGTTCAAAAAAGCTATTTTTAGCATATAGGTCACAGTCAAGGTCAAAAGATCATTGACCTTGATGTCATTTGAAAGAGCCTTAATTAGTGGAGTAAGCATACCAAATAAGTCCCTAACTCTCATGGTTCAAAAGTTATGGTGAAGGTTAAAGTTGACAACAGACAGATAAACAGACAGACAGGACAAAAACAATATGCACCTCGGATCGATGCAAGAAAATATTCCCTAGCTTACTCACGCCTTTGTACATTTTTCTGTTCAGTACTAACAGTAAGTACTGATGTCGCAGTGATACCTCCCATGGGTACAGTTTTTGGTATTTAATATGCTTATTTAAATGCATATAAATCCTCATTTACAACATACATATCCCTTCTAGATAAACATTCATATGATGAATTGGTGAAAATTCATTTTTTCAATAATACCTTTCTGGCCAAAGAAAGTAAAATAGCATCACTGAACATTTTAAATCCAACATGTTCTCCATATGTCTTTCTATAAATCTGAAATGCAAAACAAAATCATATTAAAGCTTAAAAGAAAACATTCAGATTGTGCAAAGGGTATATTAGTAATGCAACATGAAAATTTGTATCTGTTTTTATCAAATATCTTAATAGTGATGCAGTTGAATTGCTTATATCAGTATGTATCAGCATATGTTTGACACTAATTTCATTAAAACGAGGTCAAGATCTAAGGAAATGCCAAGGTCAGAAACTGTTGATGCAGTTGAAAAGCTCTCATCAGTATGTTTCAGCATATGCAGTATTGTGTTATAATTGTTTCTTTAAAATTGACTTAAAAACAATTTGATAAAAGTGAGGTCAAGGTCAAATGAAAGGTCAAGGTCAAAAATATTAATACATTGTGAATTGCTTACATCTGTGTGTCAGTGTGTCTGTGTGTCCTCCTAAGAAAAGTGTGGTCAAAAGGTCAAAGGAATGTCATGGTCAAAAATGTTGATGCAGTTGCACAATGTCTCTCATCCATATGTATCAACATTTGAAGTTTGATAAAAATATCTAGAATTGTATCTTTAAAAATTGCTAAACACTAATATTAAAGATAAGTGAGGTCAAGGTCAAAGGAAAGTCAAGGTCAAATATGTTGATGCAGTTGAATAGCTCTCATCAGTATGTATCAACATGTGAAGTTTGATAACACCATCTTGAATGGTTGTTTAAAATTAAGCTGAACACTAATTTAAGAAAAGTGTGGTTAAGGTCAAAGGAAAGGTCAAGGTCAAAATGTTGATGCATTTGCATAGCTCTCATCAATATCTATCATCATATGAAGTTTGATGAAAATATCTTGGATAGTTTCTTTAAAACTGAGCTTTGAACAGAGCTTAACACAAAGTGTGAAGGAAGGACAGAAGGACGGAAAGAAGGAAGGAAGGAAGATGGACATGACAAACACTATATGCCCCGGCCATATTCATGGAAGGGCATAAAAATCTTTCATAAAATATTCCCTACATGTAGCTTACCCATGTCTTTGTATATTTTTCTATTCAATACTAAAAGTAACCTGATGTTGCAATGATAACGCTCACATGTACAGTTTCTGATGTTTAATATGCTTATTAAACATGTGAATATATCCTCATTTACAATAATACATATCCCTTCTAGATAAACATTCATATGATGTATTAGTAAAAATTCATTTTTTCTACAATACCTTTCTGGTCAGAGAAAGTAAGATGGCATCACTGAACATTTTAAATCCAACATGTTCTCCGTAAGTCTTCCTATAAATCTGAAATGGAAAACAAAATTACATTAAAGCTCAAAAGAAAACATTCAGATTTTTTTAAGTGTGCAGAAAAAGTATCTGTTTTCTATAAATTTGAGCACATCAAGATATAAAATGTTCAAGACTTTGTCTGCAACTACTTCGAGTTTCTTTATAAAGAATTATAAAGTGGTACACGGTGTATAAATCTTTGTCAATCATATGTCTCTTTACTTGCCATATTGTGTATATAACTGTCTCTTATATGTTTTTGTTGATGATGTAGTAGTGTATAGATCTGTGTCTATTATATTTTTTGTAGAAGATGTGGTATTGTGTACGTAGAACTGTCTGTATCATATTTTGTTGTTGTTGATATTGTACTGTGTATAGAACTGTGTCTATTATATTTTAGTATTGTGTAGAACTTTGTGAATATAAGTACACTTTATGTTTACTACATTGTTTTCATTACTCTTATGAGATTTAAGATTATCTTGTTGTTGATGATGACGCACTCAGACCCAGTGGTGTGTAAGACTATTTGGTATATGTTGATTTTGTTTAAATCAAAATTGTATTTTTGATTTATCAAATACATAACTCTGTGATCTGAATTAATTACCTTGTTGTTGATGATACGATAGTGTGTTAGACTGTGCATGCCCTTCTTGTTGAAGCGACTTATGGCTTCTGCTGCCACTTTTTTGAGGTTAACTTTTTTAAATATGGACAGATCTTTGTCTATCTGTTCGTAGGTGTCAGGACAGTCATGTGCTGTATACCACTTCTCTAAATTAGTCATGGGACAATAACAGTCTTCATGGTACACCATTCCTAGAGAGAGAGAAAGGCAAGAGTTACCTCTCTTGTATCATTATTTGATGATTTAGGTGGTAAAATATGTGCATATTATCTATCATAGGTGCATTAATTTTTTGACATGCATTTGGCAGTTTTATGAACCTGGATCTCCTCTTCAGATCAATGAGAACATTTGGCATGATCACCTTACCTATAAACATATCAATACTAGTACAATCCAAAAAGTGACAAAATTGAATCTGACAGGGTGAAACAATGGGGTCAAATGCATGTCACAGACTGCATTTACCAGTCTGTATAGCTAAAATAAAGTACATCCAGCCCATAGGTGTATCTGCTGGTTGATTTATTAAATATATACTTCCCTGGGTTGATTAACGACCCTGATCATGACATGGGACTAGGACCACCCTGTCTACGTGTGCTCAGGGCGACTCACCTCTCAAGTAGTATGGGGATTTAGAGACATGGTTTTCATTATGGAGCAGATTAATTCTGAGACTGCTGTAAGTGACAAATGGACGGAATCGTACGACGTAGCTGCCATCATAAAGGTCCAAGACCTGGGCGTAAATCCGGGCTCGGCTCCCATCCTCCTGGGTTATCTTCACTTCAAAAGCTTTATCTCCAAGTGAATGTGTGAAACTACAAATACATATGAAATGAAAATAAAAAAATATACCAGTACAAGCAAGATACATATACACTATTCATATGTACTACCAATTTTATCCTTGATTGTTAGATTTCAGCATATTTTTAAAGTCACATATTTTAAGTCACTTGTGGAGAGGGTTTATGTAGGAAATGCCTGCTGCACAACCTATATCTATATTTAAATCAAAGTCATTTTTACAAGCTTATGTGTTCTGTGATTTGAAGAATTTATGAACAAATAATGCAATAAATTTGAGAGGTCACAGGGATGCAAAAACAAGTTAAAAATCAGTCTTTGAAGATCATGCAAAAAAATTCATGTTCTGAATTTATTATCATAAATATACCAATTAGCATACATCAATGTATCAAGTATATTCTGTTTTGAGAGTTATGCAGGCATTTTTATATTGAATAGGAAAAAAACCAATTCCATGGTTTCAAAATATATTCACCAAATTTACATCTTGAAAAGTTGTATATCGTAAAACAAAACCACAAAATCCAAATCAAACATGAAAAAAAAACAACAACACAAAAACCACACAAGTGACATGAAAACCCCTCATTATTTTGAAATCAAATCTAGCAAATAAACAAATATGAGCAACTGTTGAAAACTACAGGTGTATAACATTGATCTTCTAGTACTTGCAAGGATACTATAGGTGCAGATCTAATGTATTGAATGCATTGAAACAGGACAAACTATGATAAGCAGCTGCTATTCCTCTCAAGTTAAAACTTTTCAAATATCCTCTTAATTTCAATAATTCATTCATGGGCAGTAAATAAATCAAAAATTCAATCTCCAAATAATTTCTTTAATTCTATTTACTAATCAGATATATCATTTCTTCACTTTTTATGTGTGTCATTTGTAATGGTAAATTGTTGATTTAATGTACCACCTGTCACTCTACTGTCACTGTGGATGAAGACTGAATAATCTATGTCCCACACACCATTTTACGTAAAATAAACAATATCATGTATAGAATACATAATACAAAACCTCCAGATATCTCTTTTCACTTAGCAGATAAAACTAGATATCTGATTTGGCAACCAAGGCTATAAGATAGCATCATGAACTATTTCAAAGGTCTCCCCCCTAAAGGGAATAATCCACATGTTATCCTGAGGCAGTCCAGCTTAATGAAGGACAAATTTAGCCATCTTGTTACCCGTCAGCTGCGATTTACAGTTATGTTTTATCAGTGGCCCAAGTCGGACAATTTTCTTTCATGAACAGTGTCTATTTATCATATTTATGTAATAAATTGTACAGAAAAGGGCAGACATATGGCACAGAAACTGCTGCCATCCATTACTCATACACAAAAATAATTAATTATAGGATTCAAGTAAAAATATTATCTTGTGGTCTAAGACTGTGCAATATGAAACAAGTTAAATATTCCTGTCCTTTCAATATACTACATCCACTCTCATAATTATTATACTGAGAGAATGAGTTTGATCAATATGATATACCTGGGGTAGTCATGCATAATGGGTATACACTGGGCTACCTTACAGACCTCAGCAAGAATTTCACAGTCAAATAGCATTGTTTATAACTTAATCTTATATGAAAATCAGAAACTGATGTGCCGTTAGAGGAGAAAGAAATGAGATCGAAATTTGAACATTCTTTTTACCAATTTAGATACAAGTCTACATAAAAGGTTAGGGATATCTTTGTTATATGTATAACATTTACCAATAAAGGTTATCATATACAATGTCTTTGCAAATATTTTGTATTAGGATCTACACTATTTCTATTAACATTAATTAGATTAAAGGAAGAATGTGTATAATACTTGTAATAATAAATAATTATCGGTAAGAACTTCATATTTGTTTTAAGACAGGATTTCCTTTAAATGTCTATTTGGAATTCACAGAATTGAACTGTGATGTGAAATGAATGTTTGTTTACAAGATATGAACGTAGTAGTGTATTTCTATTCGGTTGTCATTCACCAATTAATCTTGCCTTTAATTACTAGAGCTTGTTATTAAACTAAGGTAACTACGGTCTTAGGGTTGTGTAAGATGCTGTTTTTTTCTGTCCTACATCGTTTATATTAGCTTTGCTTCCTGTTGCCTGAGGATTTTAATACTTAAAAATATCTTGTCCTTATAGACACCTTTCTTTATCTTGTACCTTTAATGGCTAATTCCCTCTACCAAATTCTTTATGATTCATATACTGATCTTATCATGATTTAAATGTTATCGGAAACTTTTCTTTTCTTTGAGAAGATACTCTGCATTCCTCTGTTTCATGCTACAACTTACAGGTGAGGATAAGAGAGTAATTTCTAATAGTTGATTCAATGATACATGTAGATACCTAGTGGATTTTGTCACACGTGTAAGGAAAATTCCAATAAATATTTATCCTTCTTTTAATTAATATTAACAAATAACAATGGAATTCAGATGCATATATCAGGTACAGAATATGAGATAATTTAACCTAATAACATACATGTATAAATCACAAATTCCTTATGGTTAAAAAAGAGCAAGTGTCTTGCAGATTGGGAAACTGAAAATCAAATTTCCTCCTTGCTCTAACATTTATATACACGTACTTGATTCTACTTCAGTAATACTCTGATAGACTAAACCTTTTAAGTACCAATTCAAAGTTTTCTTAATATACTTATATGTCACTGCTCTATATAAACAAATTTTCTTGGTTTATTTTCCGAAAAATCATGACTACATCTATCTACCAGCAGCCATTAGCAACATAAAGACTGATTGAGATTTCACAGATGGTGTTGGGGGATGCCGTGGTCTAGTGATCTTTTTGTCATCAAACAGAACTCCACCCAAATATAATATTATCTTATTCAATGGGTGTCTGGAACTGAAAGCTTTAAAGTGATTAAGAAATATGAAACCAACCCTCAACTTTCAGATTAAATAAATTTTAAGCATTATACATGTGATTTTAATTCATGTATCGATGTCAAACAGACATTTAAGTTCCATCTGACAGGTATTAGGGTGTAAAAATCACTAATGATAATCAGTAAGATCAATGGGTCTATGAACATAAATGCTTGTCATTGGTAACTACACATGTACTGAAAACTTGATTCATCAGGCTAGAGAGAAAGACCCATCTAAATAACTTCATGAATCTTACTGTAAAAGGATATGTATATCTGTTTTTATTGTCCCCACTTTTAATTTCGGTCTGTCCATCCATCTGTCTTTCTGTATTTTTGTCTGTTTGTAACCGTATCATTACCACATGATATCTCAAGAAGCTTTTGAGATTTTTGCAATGAAATTTCACTAAGAAAGAAGCTAGCCTACTGATTTTGAGGTCAAAAGGTCAAAGGTATTAAATTTGTAAATTCTCAAAGGTATTAAATTTGTAAATTCTTTGTTTAAACATGCAATATCTTGAGAAGCCTTTGAGCTTTTGCAGTGAAATTTTATACCATAACTTCCCATGGCTTAAGGAAGACCAAAATTTATTTTGAGGTCAAAAGATTAAAGTTCAAGGTCATAAATTGAGACTAAATTCATACATTCTGTGTGTGTGTGTGTAACTTTCATTTCTGAGCGATATCTCATGAAGCTTTCAAGCTTTGCAATGAAATTTTATTCTATTACCTCTTTGTGGCCTTGCTTGCCCATTAAGGGGGGAGGGTGGTGATTTATCTTCAGTTTTCAAAATTTCAAAGTTGAAATTAAGTGGAAATTCCTTGTACATGTACAGAGACAGGTCCTAATTTCCCAAAAGATGAAAATGCCGACTGGCATGCGCAAGTCAGTGCCATTAAATTCATATGTACATGAAATTGTATGGTCTTTTACCAGTTCAGTGGACTGCAACACATTAAAACTGCTATGCATGTTGCTATAATTAAAATAGGATGAAGTCACAACAAACACTTTGAATTCTCTGGGTCTCTTTAAAAACTCCACAAATGTAATACATGTATGTAATGTATTGAATGTAACATTAAATTTGTATAAAATTCCTGTCAACAAAATCTACCTTAAAAATCATAAAACCTTTACTTATCAAAAATTATTAATGAACTATTAAACTACAAAATTAGAAATTTAGACTTGCATCACTTGAACATTTTGATGGATGAAGTTGTTCCTTGATAGAACTCTAAAAGTCTTCAGTTAAACCATATCTGATAGAGACGTTGGAGTAATCAATATAAAGTCTGTTTAATGGGTTACCACACACAATCTGTTGCTAAGGAATTTTTTTTCAGATATTATTAAACACATGTAAGATCAATATGACCTGGAATAATGGGTGTATTAATATTTAACCTGACCTGTAGAATTTAATGAAGACTTTCTGCTTACATGTATTTGTATCTCACACATACAATGTATATGAGGTTTGGCATTGTGAAGATATATGTTACATGGAACATACATCAAGTTTAATTTAGAAGGTATCATGAGAGTTTTCAGAGAATATTAAACATTATTATAGTTACAATTATGCAGTTTCTAAGAGATACTACTAAAACTCCACCCAATACCTGCAGCTTTTTGAGAGATTTTCTCTAATAATGGTGCCTGCAGGGTAGCACAATGGATAGCACATGTATTCATTATCCGAGTTCAATCCCTTTGATCAGTGTGTGGACATTATATGTTATGACACATGTAAAGGAATTAAAAATATAATTGGGTGAGAGAATTAATGTCATGTCAAAATACATGTACATATTTTGGATTCATAATTTCCCCTTTCTTTCCTTTTCACTTTCTAACGTTTCTTCCGAGTTGTGATTCCCGTGAAATTTCTAAGTTTCCATCCTCTCTCAATCTTTTTGAAATTTCAGTATTTACCCCTCATCATTACAGATCATTGTCAAAGACAGTTTGGTTGAGTTTTAAGGCCCTCAAACTTCCTTGCTTACATGCCCTTAGAGTTCTCTCTCTCTCTCTTTAAAACTTCTGGATCTACTCCTTGATCTTCACTGGTTCATAACTTCATGCATATAGGCTATATGTATTACATTAAGAATTCTTAGAGATAATTTGTTTTATATGGAGTAATTCAATGCAAGTTCTTTCTGTGAAACTATAAATAAAATTACTATCAATTAAGTTTCTGAGTAATAAGACATGTTTTATATATTAGATGTCACATGACTTGGGACATTTTTGCTTTTGTTAAGAACATGTATAAAGAGTAAGGGTGATGAAAACCATAACCTTGTCATCATTTGTTGTATGAATTTCATGCATGATTAATGAATAAAATGCATAGAATTATGACAAAACTTTTAAATGTCCAACTCTTAGAATTATTAATTTGTAACTGTCCGTGACACAAGACTGATTGAACCTTAATTTGTGTCTGCCTCTATAATGAAGTAAAAACACAGGTTTGATCTTCGTAAGAGAAAAAAAAAAGAATAATATTGAAAATTTAAAAATTATATACTCTGATATATTTGATAATTTAGAAAAAGTTTTCTGTAGTATAAAAAAAATTACAGACTGCAACTCACTTTTTGGTAAAAAATTTGAGATATAAAAAATATCTTAACTAGAATTGCATGCAGTACATGTTAATGGTGTTTCCATCAGGATTGTAATTAAAATGCATGGCTGTTCTTCAAGTTCTTTTTAAGATAAAAAAATTAAACATAGCTGGCACTAAAGGTATGACATAAAGCATTAGTGACTAATTAATTTATTTAAAAAAAATGAATTAAAAGTAATTTAGAATACATGTGCACAGGTACTTGGGTCTAGATTTATAAATATGTATGATGTATGGTATCTATTGAAGTGTACTTTTTTACATATCAGTAGGTACATTATACCACAGGCACCTGAATTTTTATCAATAAGTCGCTAAATAGCCAAATATCGACAAATTCTACCCCCTCTATATTTATATATAGAGGGGGTAGAATTTTTCGATATTTGGCTTATTTAGCGACTTATTGATAAAAATTCAGGTGCCTGTGATTATACATATTTATATTTTTCTAAGACCCACACAACTGTGTAAATGTGCATGCTTCTTAAAAATTATACCTCCCTTTAAAAGTTAGTTTCAATATTCATTTTTTTAAACGTGTTAATGATGCAACTATTAACTGGTACATATAATATATAGGCTGACTAACCTGTATTAAGTTGAAATGCCTATGAGTATAACATTTTATATATATGATTGGATGTTTTAAGTGCATAATCTGTAATCTCTAAATAATGAAACTGAAACATATAAGGCAAGATAAATTTTTGAGGTGATACTTTTGTACCCTAGTACCATGATAGAGGTATTAACTAAGCTGAAAAGCCAGAGACACTGTGATGTTCATGTCGCAAGTAACAGAAGTAACGCACTTCAAAATATACATACTTTTCTCCAAATTGGTCCACAGCCTGGACAAAAAAATATCTGGCGGGTAACGATAACCGGGCTTTAAGCCCGGGTCCCCAGACGATAGTCTTATCAAGGGATAGAGTCCTCGATCCCGACTGTTCGGCTCCTTGTGCAGACGATCTTTCAACCACAAGCATCAAAAACGAAAGCACAAAGTAAAAGCCCTTTGCACTTGTACACATGTTCAACTAGTGGTAAGATGCAAAATTTTTCACTTGGTTATATATTAAGTAATTTCAAACTCTCAGAGATACACCTCATTCATTCCGTCTCATATGTCAACAACGCTCTGTGTCAACATGTGGTGCGTACGATTGTCAACTTCCGTTGGCTGTTCCGAGATCACGCCCTATGAAATGAGCACCATGTACGTGAAATATGACACTCGGACGAAAACGGTTATGTGTGTAAAAATAGCCCTTCACCCGAACAACATAATTATTATGCACAGGTACTTGGGTCTTGGTTTATAAATACGTATGTACCTTATATTGATATGTAAAAAAGTACTTTTTTAAATATCAGTAAGGTACATATATTATGCATATAAACGGAATTTATCTTTAAAAACAGATACTTGACATGCCGCAGAGTAAGAAACTAAATTTCCAAAGTAATAATAATTAAATTACAATAAAGACAATAAAGAATACAGCAAAATTAACCACAACCCCCCAAAAGACAAAATCTCTTACAATAAAAATATGTTTAGAAAGTGAAAAATACATGTAGGCCTAATTCTTTGTATTTCAGTTATGAAATTCAAAATTAAACATTTAAAATCAGAGACATAAATAACATAATGTTAATTATGTCTCTATTTAAAATTCTATAGAAAAGATTGAAAATTCATTAAATTGAAGTACTTTTCCATATCAAAATATTTCCTAATCTCATCATTCAAGTGCATTGAAAAAAAGGTCAAATGATACTTCTGCCCCTGCTATTGCATAGTACGTGCAGGGACGTGGATGTTGACCAAAGCAATCCTGCAGAAGATCCAGACATTTTATAACACATGTCTCAGGTGCATCTTCAACATCTCATGGTCTGAAAGGATTTCAAACGAAGAATTATGGAAGCAGAGGGACAGGAATTTAACGCAGTGGCGTAGCATCGTTTTTGAAAGTGGGGGGGGGGGGGGGCCAGCCAGAGAATTTTTTTTTACCTACCTGAAAAAGTTGACAAGCAAAAAAAAAAAAAAAAAGGGGGGGGGGGAAGTTGCCCAAAGTCGAAAAACCTATTTCGTGGGGGGTAGGGGGGGGTAGGTAAACTTTTTCTCAGTGTCAACTGCTTCCAGTACCAGTTCTAATACTACATTTTCGGTACATCACTAAAAGTGGGGGGCCAACCAGGCTTTCATTTAACATTTCCTATAGTATAAGTTATAAGTAAGGTTGGGAAAAAAAGTGGGGGGGCAGCCCCCCCCCCCCCTGGCCCCCCTGTTGCTACGCCCCTGTAACGAATGGACGTATAAATTAGACAGAGAAAGTGGGACTGCCATGGATTGGACACACGGTAAGGAACTCACAATCCAGCATCATACGCCAGACCCTGACTTGGAACTCACATGGCAAAAGAAATGAGAGGACGCCCAAGAAACACCTACATGTAGCTGGAGGCGTAATTCCCATTCAGAACTAAAGACACAGGACATGGCATGGTACATGTATATGATGCAGCAAAAGCAGTCTGGAATCGAGTTCGTTGGAAACTGTCGTCGATGACCTTTATTCCTCAAGGAACGATTGACCTAAGTAAGTAAGTATATAAATGATACTCCTAACCCCTTAAAAAAAGTGGAAACCCCACCTTTTAAAAATTAAAAAAAGAAAAAAAAACTAAAAAGTTGACTATCGTATATGGAATTCCATAAAAATATAAACAAATAAATTAATCATTTTATTAATAAAAAAAAAATCAAAATTAAGTTAAAATAAGTGAGAAAGATAAACGTCGCAAATTAAACCCCAAAAATTCTTTGAAATCAAAATTCTTATTCAAGCTTTTTTGGACGTTATTCAAAAATAAAATAGCCTATACTTATTCGTAATCACAGGCTCCTGACGTTACTTATTTTCCTTTTGATAATAATAATAAAAAATAACGTTACCCTACCTAATGATGAACATATATTATTAGATAGGTTTTTTTTTTTATTAAAAGACACACATGTATTATAAAGTAGGAGTATATATTTTTTATTAAAAGAAAAATAAGTAACATCAGGTGCCTGTTTTGTAACGTATTTGTCTCTCGATAAGAAAAAAGCGCGATTTCTGCATGGATATCAATAGACATTTCTCAAGGATTTTCGACGTCTCTCTTTCAATTTGATACTCATGAAGAAGCATATACGGGCCCATATTAGCACACGGTTTCAAAAATGTGTGGGGGGTGGGGGGTCAAAGAAAATCCATCCTCGCTATGCCAGGGTCCTGAGTCAACATATTTCCGTTGGAGGATTTTAACTTTGAAAAAAATATAGATTTTAAAACAATTTGAAGTTCTTCATTTAAATCCAGTTAAAATATTCATGATCCCTGGATTTTTTTTTACGCTTTAAATCTGGTTGATCACGTCAAATATAAATAACAATTTATGTCTCTGATCATTTTACTGTCTACTAATTTTAATTATGTCTAAACATTAATGAAATTACCAAAGGTAGAGGTTAGGCGTAAAACAAAAACCCGTATTTTTAAGTGTTTGATTTAATTATTTTTACATCGAGTTCTAAATTATACGAGGGAGTGAAAACATACAAAAGAACAGCTCCGCGAGAACATGCGCAAACATCGTTCTTTCTCGCAATTTACCGTCGAAGACGCCATTATCGTTCTCCGAGACAGGGGCCGAGATTTGGGCAATAGTTCGAGTTTTGCAGCGCCAAACATCACCAACACGTGTTTGAAGGTATTTCTTTCTATCAGGCACGCGTATGAATGAAAAAAGTCATGGAAAATGGTCACATGTACACAGTAAGTAAAAGGTCACTATCGGTCGAATTGTAAATGCTTTTTCAATAACAAGTTTCGCATCACTGTCAAAACAACATCGTCTGCTATAGATACGCAAAGCTATTTCGAATTTCCTCGAAGAATCACATATGGGACAGTATCATATTTTCGAAAGTTTTGCAAATTTGAGCAGCTATAAAACAGCCATAAAACATAGTTAGGAAAAGGTCTGTATTCAATTTAAAAAATAGATAGCTAAATATCTAGGCCCAAAGTGTGGTACTTTTTTTAACAGTGAAGAGAGAAATGGGGACTTTGTTGAAACAACACAGTACTGTGTATGTAAACGGTATTATTAGTACACAATTTATTCATTTAGAAAATGACTATATCTTAACTCTTAAATGTACACATTTTTAAATATTCTGATCACAATTTATTTAATTTTGTACCATTGATTACCAAAAGCTCCAGAGAAATGAAATAGACTTGAGATTGATATTTATATCATATGTTGCTTTAGTCATGGAATATTGGCAATGTTATATTTTATATTTCATTTTTTTTCAGTCCTTTATTGATTTGATACTATATTTTCAGTTTATACTGTATTTATATGTAATGAGTCATATTTTTTTTCCATGAGTAGGAGAATGACAACAGAAGAGAACAGCAGTGATGGATTGACTTCTGTGTCCACAGCACCACTGGTAGTAGAACACATGCCACTCACCATTAGCCAGCTAACAGACAATTCTCAGCCTGAGGGGGTCATGGCTTCAGATAGTGTTCTCACCATTGCAGTGGATACAAATAATTCTGTACTTCAGGAATCATTCTCAGGTAGAAAATCCATGTTTGTACATATAAAGTCATAGAATTTATTGAAGTTTAGGACATATTTAACAAACCTAGTCAAGCATCTGTCAGACATTTATATATATTGACTCCCATCTAATTTTCCAGACAATTAGGTTTTTAAAGTTAGAAGCATAAAAGTAGCTAAAACTAAAAAAAAGTTTAAGGGTCCTCCACACACCCACAGCTTATGTTCTCATATTATTGAGCATTACTTTTAACAAGCATATCAACCTTTAAAAACTGTCCAGGGATTAAAATGTAATTTATACTGATTTTTTAAAATAATTATTTCACAAGTTTCAAGAAATTTTTCCCAAGGCGTTTTCATACCTAACACAAAAAACTTTGTCTTACCCCATACCTGTCAACTCTCCCGATTTTATCGGGAGTCTACCGATTTTTAACCATCCCTACCGACTGTCTACCGATTTTTTTTTAAACTGCCGTTTCTACCGATTTTGAAAAATTCCGGATTTTTTACCTACTTGGGTTCGTAAAATACCGACTAGTCAACACAAAAATGGAGGCCATGCAGTGTTTATATCGGTAGCTAATCTGTTTATTGCCACTGATAACAGGTAATCAACAAGGTGTCAACTGTGCTAGCAGATGTAATTGCAGTTGTAATTGCTCCTTATTTTCATTAAAAGTGTATATTATCAAAGACAGAGATGCCAGATGTGGAAATTTTTACAGAACATGACGGTAAAGAACGATATGGAAGATCCGAAGTACTTGATACTTTGCTGCAAATAAGTTTAGAAGTGCCTAAGACAAAACTATTACTCCATAAACAATACAGTGATCAGGAAAGGTGTGGCTACAGTACTCTATAATTAATTTAACAAGGAGAGGGAAACAATTTCATGGAAGCTAACATAAATGTTCAGAGTCAGCTGAAGATTTCCCAACAGATTTTAAGATTCAATGACTTAGTAAATCCTGCATCAACATCAGCATATAACAGCCCCCTTTAAATTTACAAAGCTAAACAGGGTATGCATTTCTAAATTAAAATATAAAATAAACACATTAGAACATTACTTAAATAAAGTATTATATTTAAACATTTTGATATATTTTATGAGATTAAAAGAAAAAAAAAAACAGGGTATTTCATTCATACTATATTACATATTATTTTAAAAATATAAGCATGAAGTTTTGACATTTATTTCAATTTCAGATCTTTAAGTCAAGGATACAACTCATGTCCCTTAGACTTAGTGAGAAAAATCCATTCATCCATCTATTAAAAGCTTGAAACTCAGACTGTCTGCAGAACTTTATTAATTTTTCTAATTGCCAAGTTAAACTACAACATTTGCCATGAATATTATTTAAATGATGCTCTTATGGACTGGCAGAATAGATAGTGAACATAAAATTTTATAATTTCAAAATTAATTCACATTATAGTACAAGTTTCTAAACAATGTATGAATAAACAGTAAATTTTATGAATTAATGATGGTGTTAATATTAATAATAAAGTTTTATCTTGTTGTTTATTTTTGTTCTATAAAACAGTGAAACGCGCGATGACTTTTTGTGTGGTTGCAAAAGGTCGTCGCGCGTTTTCTCCCCCGAAAAATTTTGGCCATGTTGACAGGTATGTTACCCTTTTGTATATTTTTAAGCTCACAGATTAGCCATAAAAACTTAATTTTATCGATCAACACATTTTTTACAGAAATTTATTTTATTTATAAAAAGTACATAAAACTAATTTTCTCTGAAATACATCACGAGAAAAATCAACAAGGACTCCTTTTGTAGAGAAGAAACATTAATGAATTAGATTACATCAAAAAATTGAATTAAAATTAAATGCACTGATGTAGAAAAAGCATTTTCAAAATCTCTGGTATCAAAGTTCCTTTTTGGAGTTATCTTTCCTGTTGCTCGGACTCAAAAACTTTGGCAAGTCTCCACTTACGTCACCATACTATATTTAGTAATATACTGGCCACTGAACTGGACAAAAATAAAAGAGGAAAACAAAACGCACACTATTTTATCAATATTTATAAACACACAATGAGATAATGTATTATTGAAACGTACAAATTAGTGTGCTGAAATTTCTGGAACCAGTCCGACATCACTAACGCTATCGTCATAGAAGTTATGAAAAAAAACGAGTCTTCTGTACAGCCTTCAACATGTTCAACTGTCAAAAACAGACTCGGTTGATTAGCCTGAAAGTGTAAATAACCTATACGTTTCTCGTCATACCCACTTGTACCTGTTGTCTAGGAATTATTATCTTTATTAACACAATCCAAGACGTCTGTTCTTTTATTTAAAAAAAATACCGCAATCCTTTTCATTGGTCACTCCGTGATCATCATGCCATGTGTTCATTGTTTACAAATGGTGGTAGGACAATTCTTTCATGTATTTTCTCAATAAAACTGGAAGTAAAAGTATTTTTTCTCTATATACGTCACAGGTCACATGGTGTGGAGGACCCTTAAACATTGCTCTCAAACTATTTTTTGTCTATTTTCTATTTAGTTTATTCAAATAGATTTCCATTGTAGTCTGTGATGAGGCAGTCCATTGTAGTCTGTGATGAGGCAGTTTGTCAAAACAATCTTTACATAATTAAATTATGTATCCAGGCCTTTCAAAATCTGCTGGTATCTGGCCAAAATTCTTTTTTTCTTCACAATTCCAATTTTAAAATTTACCAGGGATACCTGTAAACAGGTGTCTCTCAGGAACTCTGTTAGCATATTGATGCAGTTTGGAAGCATTGGATACAACCTTTGATTTTTTTTGTCCCTGAATTAGTAATATCTTTTTATACTCAAAAGCCACTGGGTATTTTATTGGAACATTTATTTCTTGATGTTATTTTGATGTATATGTATTTTGTAGGCAGTGATCAGGACACTAAAGAAGAACCTCCTAGCAAGAGGACAAGATATGACACAGGGAATGGAGAGTTATCACAGGACCAGTCTATCAAGGTAGAGGGGAAAGAAAATTACAGAGCATGGGATAAGTGAATTGACAATACACATGGATATGTTATTTATGTTTTTTAATTTAATGTTAATGATTAATTTTGTGTACTTTCAGAGTCTCTTGTTTACAATAAACAAAGCCATCTGCATGCGGTTGGATGGGATCGAGAACAGTATAGAAATTCTGAATGGTCGAACTAAGTTTCTGGAAAAAATTAGAGGAATTGATTGGCCATGTAAAGGAGAATTCTACCACAGACCACAGTACCACGCAAACAACTCCAAGTGTTGGATCTATAGTACAAGCACAAACCAAGGGGTAATGATATAACAAACTGATTAAGTTTATAACTATTTGAAATGTATCAAGAAATGCAGAGACATCCATTATATGTTTCTGGTAAATGATATAGAAATAAGATAGTATTCAGCTCAGATTCATTTTGAATGAATGTGCATATAGATGTTCAATGTAGGGACCATGCCTCAAGATCATAAACTGAGAACAGACTTAAATCAACATTTAAAATCAATTTAACTTTTGAAATAATTTTGATAACAAAACAAAATTTTTATCATATATTGTAGAATCATTGTTTGTGGGGGACCAATGTTGGGGATTTCGTGGGTCACACATAGCCACAAATTTACATCCCCATGAATGTTTATTTTGTTAACAAAATAAACATTTGTGGGGATGTAAATTTGTGGATTCATGATAATTCATGAGTATGTTGTAATTAGGGATGTGCGATTTTATCGGTATACCGGTATATCGCGATTTTTTGTTGTGTGATACGTATCGTGATACGGAGACATAAATACCGGTCTTTAGGTACATATTATAAAGTCCAGAAATTATTCATTTATTTGTTCAATCTTTCAAATTACAATTACAGAAAGTATAAAAATATTGTAAAAAGTAAATAGAACGGCATCTTACCGTCCAAACATAATTGATTTTA